AAATATTACATTAAAAAATAACATAACAAATATTAATCATAATAGTATTTACAAAATCATGCAAGTGTGTACCTTGGCTTACCACCAAGGTACACAACATTAGCAATATCCAAGATACACCACTGCAACTGCTTTTACAAAATCGCTACCATATATATTTATAGGTTAGGAATTAAGCAGTTTCAAACATGCATAAATGCAGCTGAAAACATGCTTTACAAATTTTGATAATCATTTTTAGAATAAAGTTCATACTTACAGTTGTAGTAGAAAAAGGGATAAGCCCTAAAAAAGTTACTTTTTGGTACCAGAAACAAACTTTTATTTTTATTGCAACAACAAATATGTTAAGCAGTGGTAAAACAACTTATTATGAACCTTTAATGGCCAATACATGCAACTATTATTTTAGTTTGAATTCATCACTATATATATATATTATATATATATATATATATATATATATATATATATATATATATATATATATATATATATATATATATATATATATATATATATATATATATATATATATATATATATATAATTATTTATATATATATATATATACAGTACATAGATATATAGATATATCTATGTACTGTATATATATATATATATATAGGGGAGGTAGGGGAGCATTGGGCAGTTGGGAGGTTTGGGCACCCCCTCATTTCTCACCATCTTTTCTAGATATTTTTTGTTTTTTACCATAGCATTATAGTTTTATAATTGGCAACACTTTTCATCAAAAGTGTCAGCTGTCGTTTCACTTGGTTGTCAAGTTACATGCGCTTAACAGTTTGTTGCGTTCAAAAGTAAATATTTTGTTTATGATTTGAAGAAAGATAACAAAGAAATCTGCAAGAAATTGTAAGTATCTGTGTTAACTTCTTCTTTTGTGTTTAATGAACATTATATTTACCTGACAATTAGGATTCAACATTTGATAAAAATAAACTTATTCAAATCTGTTTAAAAAGTGAGGTTATGGGGAGCATTGGGCACGCCGGTAGGAGGGAGGTTTGGGCATGCCCAATGCTCCCTCTTTTTTTAGTGTGTTTTTTTGTCATATGTTTGTGTTTTTTTGCTATGACTATTGGATTGAATGGTTAATCATTTCTTTTCAGGACAATGCCGTTTTATTTAAAAAGAAAAATAAACGATGTGAAATCCCTAAAGATGTTATTCTGCGTGCATTGGAAGAGGTTTCTAAAGGAGGAAAAATTAAAACTACTGAGATTAAATATGATATACCCAGGTCTAACCTTCAAAGATACATAAAACAGGGTGGCACTGTGAAAGATACTTCTTGTAAATATATATCATCCCAAATATTCACAAAAGATGAAGAAGAAAAAATTTCAGAATATTTTGTAACATTGTTTAAACTTAACCATGGAATGTCAAAACTGAAAGCACGCGAATTAGTATACGAATATGCCACTGCCATTAATAAAAAAATACCAGACAACTGGACAGAGAAGAAACTTGCATCGAAAGATTGGCTAAGGGGATTTTTTAAAAGACAACCTCAGCTTTCGATAAGGACCCCAGAAGCTACTAGTCTCTCACGTGCCACAAGTTTCAATAAGAAAAATGTTGGAGATTTTTTTGAAAATCTTAAAACTGTATATGAACGACATTGTTTTGGCCCTGAGTCTATTTACAATATAGACCAAACTGGATTATCAACAGTACAACGAACCCAGAAAGTGATTGCTCTCAGAGGCACTAAGCAAGTTGGGCAAGTAACGTCAGCTGAAAGAGGGACACTTGTAACTGTTTGCTGCGGCATTAATGCATTGGGTAACTCAATACCACCCTTTTTCATATTCCCACGAGTTATTTTCAAAACATATATGTTAAATGATGCACCTGTTGGTTCAGATGGAGCAGCACATCCTTCAGGGTGGATGACAGCATCAAGTTTTTTAAAATATATACACCATTTTAAAAAATACACAAAACCAACGCCTTCATCACCAGTTCTATTGCTGCTGGACAACCACGAGAGCCATATTTCTGTACCAGTTCTCGATTTTTGTATAGAATCAGGCATTGTTTTAATAACTTTCCCACCGCACTGCAGCCATAAACTGCAACCCCTAGACCTGACTGTCTATGGACTACTCAAAACTTATTATAACACTGCTGTAACAGATTGGATGGTGAGCAATCCTGGCAAAACGGTAACAATTTATGAAATCCCAAAATTAGCAGCAAAGGCCATCCCACTTGCATTCAAGTTGCAAAATATTCAAACGGGATTTGAAAAATCTGGCATTTGGCCATTCAATTCAAACATTTTCTCTGATGAAGATTTTGTTTGTTCTTCTATAACTGATCGCTACTTGCCGGGAGAGAATAATTTTGCTACAGAAAAATCGATTTCAGACCAACCTATCATGGAACAGCCTTCAACAGAAGAAAATCTGAGATTAGAAGATCGTACTAGTTCAAATGAGGAAGTCACTGGGCCATCTCAACTTGAATCTCTATCTAAAAGCCAGACTAGTTGCACTGTTAATGTAACACCTGATTTAGTAAGACCATATCCGAAAGCCGGCCCCAGGAAATTGGGTGGCATGAAACGGAAGAAAGGAAAAACTAGAATATTGACAGACACACCCGAGAAAAGACTTATAGAAATTGAAGAAAAAAAAAAACAAAGAAAAAATAAGATCAAAGAGCTCAACAAAAATCGAAAATGCTCTAAAAATGAGAAAAACAGGAAGATTAGTAGTGATGATGAAATAAAAAATGTTTCCGATTCTGACGAAGCCTTTGTTGAAATCGATTCATCAAAAGAAGATTTTGATGTAGACGATGTGATTGTTCTGGATAGAAATTTCCAGGTTAATAACTTTGTGTTGGTTAAATTTGACACCAAAAAAACTGTTTATCATTATGTTGGAATTGTCGAAGAGGTTAATCACTCCACGGCAACTGTCAAATTCATGAGAGCGAGTAAGATAAGAAATACGTTTATGTTTCCTGACATCGAGGACGTAGATAAAGACAAAATTGCCTACACCATCAACATGGATAAAACGTGGCAGCTTAAAATATAAATTTGACAAGCCTCTTTGGGTCATACCAAATTTAAGATAAGTCTTATTAGGTCCAACATTGTGGAGTATTGATCCCAAGTAACATTGTTTAATCTTTGTTTAATCTTTGTTTAATCATTGTTTAATCTCAAGTAACATTGTTTAAGTCTATGATATGAAAAAATGTTTGTGTTACAATTTTTTATAGCAATGCTATATAACACTTAAGCATATGAGTATAGTAAAACAATATCGTTCATATTAAATACAGTGCCTAAACCTACCCATAGGGGTGCCCAAACCTCCCAACCACGGGGAGGTTTGGGCACTTTGGACACGTGTTAGAAAACCTTTTGTAACTTTGCAACTAATTATAATACTAAAACTCTTCTTAGCAATAATTAATGCCAAATATGTGTGCTAGATATACTTGAAATAAAATTTTGATTATGATAAAAAATAACAGATTTATTAGCGTTTATGTAAAAAAGTGCCCAATGCTCCCCTACCTCCCCTATATATAATTATATATATATATATATATATATATATATATATATATATATATATATATATATATATATATATATATATATATATATATAATTATATATATATATATATATATATATATATATACAGTACATAGATATATATTGTATAAATATATATACAATATATATATATATATATATATATATATATATATATATATATATATATATATATATATATATATACAATATATATATGTATGTATATATATATTGTGTATATATATATGTGTGTATATATGTGTGTGTATATATGTGTATATATATGTGTATATATATATGTGTACGTATATATATATATATACGTATATATATATATATATATATGTGTATATATATGTGTTTATATATATATGTGTATATATATATATATATACAATATATATATGTATGTATATATATATATTGTATATATATATATATACAATATATATATATATATATATATATATATATATATATATATATATATATATGTACTGTATACAATATATATATGTAATGTATATATATATATGTATATATATATATATATATATGTATACAATACATGTACTGTATATATATATGTATACAATATATATATGTACGGTATATTTATACAATATATATATGTACTGTATACAATATATATATGTGCTGTATATATATATATATATATATATATATATATATATATATATATATATACAATATGTACTGTATATATATATATATATATATATATATATATATATATATATATATATATATATATATATATATATATATATATATATATATATATATATATATATATAGCAGGGGCTATTCTAGACTGTTTTCAATAGCGTCAATCGTATTTGGGTGGTGCCCAAATTAAAATTTGTGGACCTTTTCTTTACGTTTTTACGGCAAATATTGTTTCTTCGCGAAAAAAACGCAAATTTTCTGCTAAAGTTTGGCAGAAGGAAGAGGTACTGCTGCCCAAATTTATTTCCTAGAATAATCCCTATATATATATATATATATATATATATATATATATATATATATATATATATATATATATATATATATATATATGTATATATATATATATAAATATATATATATATATATATATATATATGTATATATATGTATATATATATATATATATATATATATATATATATATATATATATGTATATATATATATAAATATATATATATATATGTATATATATGTATATATATATATATATATATATATATATATATATATATATATATATATATATATATATATATATATATATATATGTATGTATGTATGTATGTATGTATGTATATTTTGCTCTCTTTTAAATATTTTTTATTTTCGAGCACTCTTTTATGAAATTGTAATGTAATGTAATTTTTATTTAGAAGTATATTATATTCATATATATATATAAAGTATGGCTGTTGAAGCTACAGAAAACAAAAAGCCAATGATAAGTGCAATGTTTCGTGGACCAGGACCATGTTATATGATGCCTGGAACAACTGGGTATATTGGACATGATGTTACAAAAAAAACAGCTCCACATTATGTTTTTGGAATCAAAACAAAACTTAAAGATGAAACAACACCTGGACCTGCTGCATACAAAGTTGATCCTAAAGTAACACGATTTGGTAAAGATGGGCTTCCAGAATATACCCTCCATTATCGTCCGAAGGAGTTAACAACCTTTATAACACCAGCTCCAGGTATGACAACTATATTTTGAATTGAAAAATAAATATTTATGCAGATGGTTACTCAGATTAGCAGATGTTTAAAATGATTTTCCATTGACAAAAAGATCTACTTAATATGTTTTTAATTTGTTTTCTTACCATTTTTTAAACATAATTATTATTATTTTCAAATCTTATAAGTATTTCTTCTAATGAGTTTTTAATTTTAGTAAAAGTCAAAAAAATGGTTCACCTTCAAGAAATTTATTTTTTGTGACTATATAGTACTTTAAATAAAAATAAATAAATAAAATGTTATTAAAAATATTTTTTACAAAAACATTTGTACATAGCAAAGAGTAGCAAGTAGTAGCATATAATTGCAAATAGTTTTGTACCAAAAAAATAGAAAATAGGTTTGAGATGCACATCTGCTACATTGCATGTTTATGTAAAAAGCTTATCACAATTTGGTTTCAGTATATATATTTTTAAAAACTTGAAGAGGTAAATTTTATATTTTTTTGTAGCATTTTTTAAAATTAAATTAAATATTATTAATAAGTAGCTAATCATGCAATTTAAATACATACTTATGTATTTAAAACATCAACTTTTTGGTCCTTTATTGTTCAAATAGTTAAAAATCAATATTGAAAGTGATCTTGAAATTTATGCAGCATCCATTACAAGCCCGTATAACATTTTAAGTTTCATTACTTAACAAAACCAGGTTACAATATGTGCAAAATGTCTGTTAATCATATGTGACTAGGTGTAACATTTTTACGTAATGAGACATATGTTATGAAACTGTTACATAACATGTTTACATAACGAAATGTAACGTATGTACTTTTACGTAACATGACATAACATTTTTACGTATTGTAACGTTTCAAATGTCTGTTATTTTTACATAAGAAAGAGTAGCATTTTTAACCTTATGAGATGTTACATTGTAACATGCGGTTCCTTAATATTTTATAGTTTTTTACATATAAATACTTCATATATAAGGATATGAAAAATATATATAAGCATATTGTTATAACTTAATAGTAACAATAACACCAATGAATATAATAACATCTTTTTGTAATAACTTAATATGTAATTTATTTATAACACCACACTACAAGTAAAGTTCTTGCTTCGTGTCTCTCAATATAATATCCCGACCTGTTGAAAACTTGCTTGAAAGGCTGTAAACCAACTCACATTCTGTGCTGTTGGTTTACAGCCTTTCTGACTAATTATAAATCCACAAAACTCCACCTCAGGTTGCATGAATGAGCACTTAGATACTTTTAGCGTCAGTTCTGACCTATTCAAAATTTTTAAAACAGATTCTAAGTTGTTTAGATGCTCTGCATCAGTTTTCCCAGATATAAGTATGTCATCTACTTGCACTTTTACAAATGACAGTGTGCCCAGCCTCCTGTCCGTCTCCCTTTAAAAGATGCCAGTTGCACTATAAACACCAAGTTGAAGACGAGTTGGCTGATACAACCCTTGATGAGTATTTATAGTTAAAAACTCTCGCAAAGTTTCATCTAATTCCAATTGTTGATAAGCTTGAGACAAATCAAGCTTGGTGTATCTCTCTCCTCCTGCAATAGTGGCTAACTGATCAGTGGTATTTGGTATTGGATAACTGTCAACTGGGGCTGCTTGATTTACTATAATCTTATAATCTCAGGCCTTGTTAAGAATCGTTACACAGCTTGCATTTTACCTGCGAAAAGGCGATTTGCCTATGCGTTCAGCAGTTTTGCATTACGCAAAAATTTTAATCTTTTAGAATATTTAAATTATCATTTGATATCGTTTATGTGACGTTTATTCAGAAGAAAATAAAGTCGTAAGTAAAACCATTTAACCGAAATTGTAAATTAATAGATTTTTTGTTAAAGAAAAATTTGTTTAATTATTTTTATTGTTGTTGTTGTTAAAAATTAGTTAAAAAAAAATAAGTGTTTTAAGTTTAAACTTTTTATCATATTTAATATTAAGTTTTATATTTCATAAGTTTAAAAACAATCAAATTTAAAAAAAGAAATATTTTAAATTTATTTTATTAAATTTAAATATTTTTTTATTAATTATAGTTTTTAGTAAATAAATTTATTAAATTTAATTAAAATTCTTTCATTTAATTTTAAAACAGAGCATTTTAAAATTTTTTAATTTTAAAATGCTCCGTTTTTTTAATGATAAAATTTCCAAAGTAAAAAAAGGTTTAATAAATTTAATTCAAGTTACTTTAAAATGTTCGTATTACATATAACTTTATTTTAATTTTAGTTAAGTTTCAGGTAAGTTCCAAATACTGGTCTGAATAATGCGCTTAACAAAAGCGCATTATTTTCCAGTTTTTATTTTTCCATTATTTTACAGCTTCATTCATTATTTACATAAGCGCATTATTCATTTTATAACTATAAGTTAATAAATGACGTCAATACTTTTAAACTCGAGTTATAAATGTTATGTTTGGGTTTTCCCTTTGCCGTTTGCCGAAGAATTTTTTTTATAAAACAAACCAAGGACGTATTAATAATACATCCTTGAACAAACCAAAATTCAAACCTATTAAAAATAACGCGATCAGTAAATAAACTCTTTAAAAGCCCAACTTATCTTTATTTTATTTTAAAAACAAAACTAGTACTAGAGCTATAAATATAAGACACATAAATTTCAAAATTATAATGATATTTGTTAAAAGCAAATTCTGCTTATAACATCTTAAAACCGAAAACACTATTTTTTTTTTGGATTGAGTAAAAAAATATTAGGTTTTGCTTTACATAAAAATAAAATATTTTAATGGAAATAAAAAGATAACAAAGCCGAAAAAGCAGTAAATTTTGTTTCTTTACAACATTTATTTTATCAAAACCAGTTAGTGCAAACGTTTTTTTTAAAAGGGGAAAACCCAATCTATGCGTTTAGTTATAAGTACATTTAAATCCCTTTAAGAAAATCAACCATAAACAAGTGTTAAATTTAAATTATTTAAAAAAAAAATAAAAAAAAAAACAACCATAAAACGAATGTTTAAAAGCAAAATATTTAAGTTTAAATAAGTATAAGATTTTAATACAAGAAGACTTTTTTTTAATCAACATTGAAATTTTTTTTTTTTTTTGTAACAACATTGTTCAATTTAAAGCTATTTCGTTTCAAAGACTAACAATAGTTTTTAATTTCATTTTAAATTTAATTACAATGAAGTAAAAATGCAACTGACGTAATTTAACTTTTAACAATGTAAATATCTTCATTGAGTAAAGTTACATTTATTCACGTTTCGCTTTTCCGTTACGCAGCGAAATCTCGTAACAAGGCCTGTAATCTCTACATATTCTTAATGGACCAGTAGGATCCTTAGAATTCTTCAAAACAGGCACTATAGGGGCTGCTCATACTGGACTTTTCTCCAAACTCCTTGGTCTTCTAAGCGATCGAGTTCTTGTTCAATTCTAGTCCTTAAAGCATAGGGTACTGGTCTTGCTTTATAAAACTTCTGTTTTATAAAGCAAGACCAATAAAGTGACTGGACCAGTTATGGTTAACGTAGTGGTATGTGACATTGGAAGTTCCTCAAGCACCCTAAATGGTCACTAAATACTTCTGGGTATTTTTCTAGTAATTTCTTCACTCTTGAATCAACCTTATCACAGAAATTAACTCCTCCCATTCTTTTAAACAGTTCTAACCATTGCAGGTTTAAACGCTGTATCCAGTCTCTACCCATTAATGTGGGCACATTTCCTTTTACTACAGTTATAGGTAACTTACAACATTGTCCATTATATACTACTTCAACCAACCCTATTCCCTCTGGTCTAATCAGCTCTCCCGTGTAGGTTTTCAAAACAACACTAGAGTTTCGTAATTTTCATTCATTCTTCTTTACTCTTTTGTAAGCTGAGATCCCCATTACAGAGACAGCTCCCCCGGTATCCACTTCCATAGAAACCTCACTTCCATTGATTTTTACATTAACCATAACTGGTCCAGTCACTTTATCGGACTCTTCACTTATTGAATATAGAGCTAGAAAATCGTCTTTATTTCCCTCTGCTTCAGCAGTACATCCTTTTTCTGATTCATCTTGAATCCCAATTTCCTTTACACCTAATTTCTTTTCCTTCCTATGATCTAACTCTTTCTTTTCTGATCTGCACTTTCTCTTTATGTGCCCTATCTTTCCACATGTATGACATTTTAAATAACGATAATTATAATTGTTTGCTTGGTGACCCCTGAACCCACAATGAAAACATTCTTTACTTTCTTCTGATTTTTTCTGAATTTCTACTTTATCCAATTCATCCTGCTCTATAAAGCTTTCTTTTGTATGTATAGCTTTGGTATCTTTATATGCTGTCTCATATGCTCTCACTGTGTCAAGTGTTGTCTCCAATGTTAAATTTTTTATGGTTAATAATTTTTGTTGCACATTTTAATTATTTAATCCACAAACAAACCTGTCCCTTAAATAATCATTCATGTTTTCACCAAACTCACAGTGTTCAGATAGTCTACGTAATTCAGTAATATACCTGCTTACAGATTCTTCATTATTTCTATCTCTTTTATAAAATTGAAAAAAAAAAACGCTGTGCAATGGAGTTTGGTATTGGTTTCAAATAGTCATTAGTTTAACTATTTGAGTAAAACTCTTCTTCTTGGTGTCATTTTCACATAAACTTGGGATTATAAGCAGGTCCTCCTATGGTCGATAAAAATACAGCTTTTTGTTTTTCAGCTCTTCTATATCGCTGGCCAGTAAAAAATTGTCAAATCTTTCAATATATTCGACAAAATCGTCATTTTCTAAATCCAAACAAGATATATTCAATAAATGCATCATTTTTATCTTCGTCGCCAATTGTTATAACCTAATAACAACAATAACACCACTGAATATAATAACAACTCTTTGTAATAACTCAATATGTAATTTATTTATAACACCACACTACAAGTAAAGTTCTTGCTTCCTGTCTCTCAATATA